CGAAGCATTAACACATGTTAGACTGCACCCCATAAACACAATCAAGCCTAGAAAAAAAACAGTAAACCACACCTTTAAAATTCCATCAATGGTTATGTAAAACAACACCCTTTTTACCTTGTCTAAAACAGCTCTGTTCACAGCGACCCGTTTCGATGCATGTCTCTTTAAATGATAATGAAATACGGCTCACTCCACCCCTTTCTTCCGTGGGGCGTGTCGACACAAGACACATGAATTGCTGCCTTGGACTCCATATATGGCTCGGCGGGGGTCTTAGTCAAATAGCTAGGTATCTATGTAGAAACCGGCTGCAAATTGAAACACTCGTTAAATGACACCGTTTCAGACACAGACAGCACATAACAAACTGGCTGCGCATTTTCTTTTCAGCTGTTCTGAGCTGGCAGACATGCCAGAAAACTAAATGCAAAAAAATTCAAAATAAAATAAAATATAAAAAAATAAAACAAAAAATAAGGAAAGAAAGTGAAAATTGAATCCGATTTCCCCTTTAAAAATGTCTTTAAATGCAAAATATCTAAAAACTTGTCTAAAAATGTCTTTAAAAAGCAAAAAGAAAGAGATGAAGCAAAAGAAACGTCAATGTTTCTCATTGTCAAAATAGTCATCCAAGTCTTCAGTATTGTTTCAATTATTTGTGAGTTCGTATGTTCTGAAACTGAAGACAACATAGGCAACATTCCACTGTAGAAATGGCCGCTGTCATATTGTGCTGATGCCATCATTTGGAGCCTGAGTAGAACTAGTAGAACAGAAGTTTTATTACATTAACTTACTATTAACTTACTAAAAGATTTCCCCCAATAACTAAAACTATTCCCCAAAACTAAAATTAAGTTTGCTTAATTCATAATCTTTATCTAAAAGTAACATGACCGCATGCTGGGTTATTGCGTTATGTGCCCCAGGACACACCATTACACAGACGTGGGAACTGGTAGTTGGTAAGAGAAGATTACCAAGCAACCAGGGAAGGAATTCTATTTGAAAATATTTATACAGCCCTGCATTGTGGCCCCTCTTGGCATGGTGCCCCTGGGCATTATTTCAATGTTCTTAGCTTCAAGGAACTGCTTTACCCGTTTTGCAATGTGACAGGGGCATTGTCTTGCATGAATTCCAGCTGCAGTGTTGAACCGATTCCCCATTGAGAGTCTCTGCATTATCCTCTCTTCTCGTGCATTTGTCTTCCATGGATGACCAACCTTTTTGGGGGACTTGAATGAATAAGTGTCAATGTAAATCTGCAATATTTGAGAAATTACAGATTTGGAATGATAAACTTTTCATGCAGTGGCTGCATGATTTCCTGTTAGATTTGTATGTGTTACATAGAGAATTGCGTGTTGTGTTTTGCAAAAAGTGTTTTATGAAATTAAAAACTGAGTAAAAGGTTGAGAATTAGTGTATGGTTTTGCAGATTTGGTGTGTGGTTCTGGTATTTTTGCAGCTCAATGTCTATTACAGTATACATAAATTAAATTACAAATACAGATTCAGCAATGAACTTTTGGGAAAAAAATTATAGTTTTCATTTTACTACTGTAAAGTAATCTTGCAGTAAATGAAAAGCACTAGAAAAGTTCAAATACCAAAGAATTGTATGAGCTTGGTATGCACCCCAATACAGTCAGTGACGGCGCTACACCGGGGCTAGGGGGGGCTATAGCCCCGTCAGGATTTTGAATAGCCCCGGTTTAGCCCCGGTTTACTCTGACGTCATCAATATCATTTATTTTCTTAGCATCCCCACATATTGGTCTAGCCCCCCCTTAGCACCGGTAGAGAAAAAATTCTGGCACCGTGCCTGAATACAGTA